GTCCGATGCGGGACTCGATCCAGGGACTCCAGGATCATGACCTGAGCCGAAGGCAGTCGCTTAACCAACTGAGCCACCCAGGCGCCCTACTTACATAATTTAAAATGCAGTTTAACAAAACACTGTATAAGAATATGAAATGGCATCAATACATGGTTAAGTAAGAGAGGCTAATTAATTATTAGAATGGTCTGTTTTTAGAGTACTTAATTTTATAAGGAATGTTTGCACACATACGTAAATACACACGCACAAATACATACACACACAACCTGAACATCCAGACACCAAAACAAGAGTTTTGTTTGCCTGTATTTTCAAAAGTTTCTACCAGAAACATATGTTGTTTTTGTAGAAGTAAAAAAGAAAGAAAAAAACAATGCAGCTATGTTTTCAAGAGTGGCCTCTGGTAGCTACGTGTCTCAATCTGCCCGGCCTCAGCCCCCTCTCTGCCCACCTGCCCGGCAGGTACCTGAGGGTCTTCCTCTGCATGTCCTCGTCTGTGATGCCATGATAGACAAGGGTCTCATTCCAGACGGGGTTCCGGGTGTTCCGCAGAGTTTTTGTACGAAGCTTGTTGGACTAGAGCCCAGAGAGATGGACAGACACCTGCCTTGGTGGGAAGCCAGCCCCGCAGCCCCATCCTTTGGGTTGACATGGGGTGTGTGGGTGGGAGTGAGTGGGTGATGTAGGAGTCCACTCCCCTAACAAGCGTCCGGGGGCTCAGTTGCTCCCAAAATGCATGCTCTCAGTGAGTGGAGGGCATCCCCAATGCCGGCTACAGCCATCACCAATGCTGGACACTGGGCCACCCACCCTCCATGTGCTGGGCCCTCTCTTTGAACTTTCCATTAAGATTAGAGAGCATGAGAAAAAAATATGATTTATGGCCAGAAAGGCAGAAATAAAGAGTCACCCACTTATAAGCAGTGAAAAACAATTTCTGGGGGTACTGAAATGGTTTCTTCTGTCTCCCCAAATAGCATTCTCCATGCCTGAAAGTCCTTAGGGGACAAGGTTTTCATTTTACTCTAAGAAAGACAGCGAAACATGCACTATATCCACAAGACGTGGCCTGGTAGCAAATCTAATTCATACTAACATGTAAATGACTCACTGGACGCTTTGGCAAAGCCAGTTTGGATTCAGGCGTGAGCAAAGAAGAGAGTCTCGAGGAGAAAGAAGCAAATGTCACTGGGGGGTTAGAATGAGTAGTGGCCAAACACTTCACAGTTTGGCCATGGTCAGGTGAGGGACTCTCCTTTCTTGATCCAAAGAAAGAAAGAGTGAGAGACAGTGTGTATGTGAATACACACATGTGTGTCCTCTTTGTGTTATGGGGCATATTTCATACTTGCAGAGATTTTTAACAGCCATTTTCCCAAGATCATGCAACCAAGTGTACAGACATTCTTGTTTCCCACCCCCCCCCCCCACCGCCCGTGTGGAAGCAGAAGCAAGGCTCAGGAAGCAGACTTCCTGGGTTCAAACAGCTCCACTGCTCCCCAGCTGTGTGACTTGGAGAAAGTTACTCAACCTCTCTGAGCCCCAGTGTGCCATGCATGTCAAATTAACACAACAAAGCAGAAAATAAACTCCAAGAAAGCACCCTTTCATGTCTAGCCATGTGCTCTGAGTGGGTCCATCCAAAGAGAGGAGAATTAACTCCACTGTCCTTCCCCAGAGCAAGGTAGTGATAAGCAGGTGAGTGAGCTGGAAGGGGAGAGAAAGGCGAGTGGGGCAGTAGTGCATTTTCACTCAGTAACAAGCATTTTCTCAAGTGCTTAGCACCACAGCCTAGAGAGAGGAGAAGCGTTTGGTTGGGACATAAAGTGAGTGGGGGAGGTGAGCCATGGTCAGCACTGGGGACGCACTGAAGGTATCTGAGCAGGTGGATGGCATAATTGGGGCTTCTGCTTCTCTCCTGGCCTTCGGCAGCTCCCTGGAGGCCACGTTTCTGGGTTGGAGAAATGGGCAGAGTGCCTGCCCCTCAAGGAAGAGTAACTCCTGGTCTACCCCTCACCCCTTGCAAGGACTTTGCCACTCAGGGAGGAGGGGAGTTTGGGGCCAGATAGGGGGCCTATTTCAGGCTCTGAGCTGGGAACCTTGGGTGCCTGCCAGGGCCCATGTGCCCAGCCTGCCGAGAGGCCCAGGCCATATGGTACCTTGCTAGCTCCCGGCAGGAGATGCAGTTTAACGTAGGGATCAGCCAAGCCGTTGGAATCCATGGGCTTCAGTCCCTGCAAGAGAAAAGGCAACAGCATGAGGGCCTTGGGAGGGCCTGGCGCTCAACTATCACAGGCAATGGGCACAGCCCCTGGCATCTGTCCTGCCCATCGGTCCACCCATGTGCTTCCTCTTCCAAAGACAGAAGGGAAATGAAATATCTTTGGAAAGAATGCTGGAATCAGGCAAACCGGGTTTGGAGCCTGGCCATGTTACTTCCCAGCTGTGTGACTTTAGGCAAGTTCCTTCACCTCTCTGAGCCTCATTTTCCTCATCTGTCAAATGGGATAACGGTATCTGCTTCACGGAGTGGTAAGACTTAAACATAGTTATACCTGTGAAGTGCTGGGCACAGAGCCTGGCACACAGTGATTTGCTGCATCGACGCTGGACTGTTACTCCTAGCATGGAAGGAAATGCTCCAGAACAAGGATGAGAGAGAAGGAGAAGCTGGGGCAAGGGGGCCTGAGTTCTGCCCCTGGCCTCTGCACTCATTTCTGAGACCTCAGTTTTTCCATCCATAAAATGGGCATCACAATGTCTGTCCGGCCCCCCTCCCTGGGCTTGAACGAGGCTCAAGTGAGACACCGTGGGGGAAGGGAGTTTGTCTGGGGTAGGAATTAAATTGGGCTTGTTAATATGAGCAACCCAACCCAAAATTCCTGGGGCCCAGACACACGCTGTCCACCTTCCTATGTCAGGGCTGGGCGGGTATCCCACCTCTGGGCTCCCACTGTCCTCTCTCACAGCACTAATCCCAAAGCCACGCATCCTTGTGAGCCTCAGTTTCCCCATCTGTTCAGTGGGGCTGATTGCAGCCCCTGTTCATGGGCTTCTTGGGGGATTAAATGAGACCTCACCTGTGAAGGGTGAGCTCTGGGCCTGGCACTAGTGAGTGTGGACAATGGGGAGAGGGTGCCACAAAGTTGGGGACAAGGGGGAAAGCTAGCAGAGTAGCCTCGTGGGTAAGAGCAGAGGCTCTTGAGCTGGACTACATGGGTTCAAATCCCAGCTCTGCCACTTCTTGGCTATGTGATCTGGGCAAGTCACTTAATCTGTGCCTCAGCTTTGCCGTCTGTAAAATGGGAATGATGACAGCACCTTCCTCATAGGTGGCTGTGAAGATTAAGTGGGATGCAATCATAGCGGAAGGCCCCGGAGGGTATATAATACTCAGGAAATGCCAGTGGTTTCTGGGCCATTTCCCCGACGTGAGTCCACGCGGGCAGGGCCAGTTCCTGCCCACGCTAGGAGCACCAGCATGTAGGGCAGCGCCCGGTGCAGAGTAGGCATTTAATGAACGTTTCTGGAATGACTACTGCAAGGCTGCAAACTGGCAGACGCTATGCTTTTAAAATCTGAATTTGATAATGCAATATATGTTAAGAAAAAAAAAAGAAGAAGAAGGTAGCGGGAGGGGAAGAATGAAGCGGGGGAAATCGGAGGGGTAGACGAACCAGGAGAGACGATGGACTCTGAAAAACAAACTGAGGGTTCTAGAGGGGAGGAGGGTGGGAGGATGGGTTAACCTGGTGGTGGGTATTGAGGAGGGCACATTCTGCATGGAGCACTGGGTGTTATGCACAAACAATGAATCATGGAACACTTCATCTAAAACTAATGATGTAATGTATGGGGATTAACATAAGAATAAAAAAATAAATAAATAGAAAATCTGAATTTGAACATCTTTGTATGGGGCCTGCTCAGGCCGGTTTACCAGGCTACTACGACAGCCAGACATCTCACACACTTTGCTCACCTCCGTCACCCGCCCAGCCTGAGAGCATGTGAGTGTTCTGTTGCCCTGTCTCGAGGGGGGGGGTGATGGTGTGGCTTTCCCCCATTTCTGGAGCTGAAGGAGGGGACTGAATGGGCAGAGAGCGAAACCATTACATCCGGATGCAAATCCAGCTCTCTCCCTACCAGCTGTGTGACCTCAGGCTTTAACCTTCCTGAGACTCAGTTTCCCCAGTTGTACAACGGGGCTAATAATGCTCCCTACCTCCGAGGTTCCCAGGAAGATGACTGGAGCTAATGAACGTGCTTACCTCATTGTGCTCTTGGGGAATGTAAGTGCTCGCTACAGTGACTGATAAAAACAGGTGCTCAGCAAAACCTGCTGAAGACGTGCCCTGGGCGTGTTGATCCGGGAGTTGTGCTAAGCATTAGCCTCGTTTATCATCCAAACTGGGACATTTTGTGCGTGAAAGGGGGAGCTTTTAATTATTCCAGCAAGGTCACAGGCATGACTAGGGGCTGTCCTGGGCCAACGGGAACATGTGGCCACCTTACACTTAATACTCAGTCATGCTTATGGGAGACGCACATTATTATCCCGGATTTACAAATGGCACACTGGGGCTCAGAGAGGTTGAGTAACTTTCCCCAAGTCACACATCTGGGGAGCAATGGAGCTAGTGTTTGAACCCAGCAAGTCTGCTTCCTGAGCCTTGCTTCTGCTTCCACATGGACCAGGTGTGCAGCGGGGGGAAACGCCAGTCAGTTACTTCCCGGGATGCACACTGGTATCATCCAGCTCTCCTCGGGGTCCGGAGTTGAGTTGAGTTGGCGCGCTCCCCCTGGAGCCCGCAGCAGGGAGATGTCGTAGGATCTGCAACAATGGGTTTCCCCCCAACCCCCCTCCCACCCCCCCAGCCACTGCTCCAGCCTGATAGTCACAGAAGCAGAAGGAACCACTGGGTGGGCCTGTCAGCTGTCAAGTCAATGCCACCAGGGAGCCCCTCTGCTTCGGTCCCTTCCAGGGGCTGTGGAAGGGGCCGGGCTGATTTCAGCTCTGCCCTTGACTCCTGGCTGCCTCCACTCCCGGGAGGCAGCTACAGCTCCGTGAAACCCCCCTGGGACCACCCCTGAAGGAAGTCCTCCAAAAAAAGCGCCCATGGCTAATTCCTGCCCCTTTCTCATCACCGTCACTGTCACAGATAGACAGGCCCGGTCACCCATGCCAACCCCAAGTCCTCTAGACAAGCCAGAGCATCCTAAGTGGTCCCCAGCTTGGCCTCTCACTTACCTTGGCTTTTATCATGGTGCAGTGCAGGGAGCTGTTGTCCTGGTCGTAGAGAAGGCTGAACTCCAGGGCACCCAGGGTGGCTGTAGGGGGCAGAGGCAGGAACAAAGACAACATTCGTTCAGTCATTCAACAAACACTTCCTGAGCATTTACTATGTGCCCAGTCTGGTCGAGGCATTGAGCCTACAGAGGGGAAGAGTCGGTCCCTGCTCTGGACACCCCATCCTGGTAGACCCTCCTCTACCTCGGAGCCCTCGGCACACCTGTGATCACTTAATCATGTGTGCAATTGCCTAGTTAATGACTTCCCATCCTGCTAGATTGAGAGCCCCCCGAGGGCAAGGGCTGTGACTGTCTCGTTCACTGCTGTGTCCCCACTGGGCACAGTACAGGGCACACAGTTGGGGCTCACTGACTCGCTAAAGGAAGAAATGAGTCTGAGCATTTGCTGTTGCCTCCGCCTGGAATACTCTCCCTCTAGATCCTCACGTGGCTGGTGTCTTCTCATTATCCACATCTTGGTTTAAATGTCACCTCCTCCCTCCCTGATCACTCCATCTAAAGCACCCACCCTCATGGTCATTGCCCTTTTTTATTTCCTTCTTGGTGTGCTATCTCCATTTGAAACAAACTCTTTGGTATGTTAATTATTTCTCTCCACTAGAATGTTAGTTCCCTTAGATCAGCCATTTTGGCCTTTTTTTCCCCCCCCATTAGGTACGGCACATTTCCAGAGCAGAAGCAGCCCGTGGCTCACAAGGTGGTGTGGACTCCCCACTCTCCTTTCCCAAGACAGCAGACCCAGGACCCGTGGGAGAGCACAGCTGATATTTCATCCTGGTCATCTGTGAGTGACCGTCAGCCCCTCCACTCACTGGCAGTGTGAGCTTGGCCAGGCCCCTGAAGCTCTCAGAGCCTCGGTCTCCCTATCTGTGAAATGGGATTAGTAGAAGCACCTATTCCCAGGCCCAGTGGGAAGACTAAATAAAGGAGCACGTGCACACAACACACTTAGTAATAAGTGCCGAGCACAAAGGTAGTGCTCCGCAGGTGTTGACATTTAGGACTTCTGATGCGCATACTACATCATCATAATTCCTCTTGTGTGTTTAGCACTACACAATAATAATGATTGCCAGTTTACGAAGCATTTTCCCAGGAGGTACCTCAGTTTACCCTCCCCGCAGCTCTGTGTGGGAGGCAGTATTCACTTCCCATTTTACATCAAGGAGAGGTGACACGATGGGCCAAAGCCAGGCCACTGATTATGACTGTAGGTCCACTTCTTCTGTGTGCGTCCTGTCTGTCCACCTGACCAGGAGCTCTTAGAACGCCCCCAACCCCACAACACATCTTAGATCCAGACATTTGTCCGTCCACGTCTCCCTCCAGCTCACAAAGGCCACCCCAGCTCTCCCCCGCTGCTCAGACATACCCAAGATAAGTACACACACTGGTGTGTGCGTGTGTGTGTGTCCCTAGGACTTTGGGTCTGAGTGGGCGAGGCCCAGAACAGGCACTTTACAAGTCATTGAAGGGATGGATGCAGGAGGAAATGTCTAGGAATTTTTAAATGTTTAAATTATGGTTAAGAAATTACTTTTAGAAGATACACATTAAAGAGTTTTGGAGGCTATTAAAATACACATATATATATATATATATATATATATATATAT